GTCGACATGGCAGGGTGCGAAAACACATGTCCCCTGCCATTTGCGAAATCGTCGTCTACCTGGTTCAGCAGGTGGTGGTCTCCCCCGCGGGCACCCAGGGGCACCTTCCAGTTCGTGGGGGGCTATCTTGGGTGTCTGGCCGCTAAAGAAGAGCGCCGACTTGCATAGGCTAGATCCAAATATTTTATTGCCTGGCTTCGTGCGAAGCTGGATACACAACCTGGGCCAGTTCACCGATGGACTAAGCCGCGCGGGTGGTGCTTATCCCAGGTCGATGGGGCTCTGGGGCCCACCAGCTTTCCAGGCGACATGGTCGAGGCCCAAACGGCAATCCCGGGCCCAAGTTTGGAATGCGCGTGACAACCCGCCCGACGACGTCTATGGGAGTGCATGATGAAACCATGCCGGACGGCATCGTGGATGAAATGCGCCACCTATGCGAGCATGGCCCTAGGTTGCCGCCTCTTAGAATCGCTGAGTTACGTACTGCAGCGCTCCAATTTCAGCGCCGCACCGCGGTTGGTGCGGTCCAGCTTCGGCCTCGGCACTGGGCATTGTTGACAAACGAAGCCTGATCTTTCCTTGGGTATCTGCTTTACCTGTGTGAAGTCATTGGGGCGGGGCCCGATATCAGCAGGAACGTCCATATCGTCCTCCTGGCGAAGCCCTCGGGGGGCTATAGGCCGATTGCCTTGCTGCCGTCGGTGCATCGGATTTGGGCGAAAGTAAGGATGACCTCGGCGCGGGCTTGGGCCTCGCAACTCAATAGGGCCTACCTGGCCCTTGGTGCCCAGAAATCGACCACGGACGTTGCTGCCAGGTTACTTGTCCATGCCGAGGCTGGAGGACTAGGCCCCGACTCCAGCGGACACGCATCACTCCACGCCATCGTTGACATTGGGAAGTGTTTCGGCAAGGCTCCGTGGGATAGGCTTATCCAGGCTGGGATGATTCACGGGCCCCCAGGAACCTTACTGCTCATGGCCCTGCGAATGTATTATGGAGCCCGTCGGCTGGTCTGGGGCTACAGTTTCTCCGATGTTACCTGGGCTCGGCGTGGAGTGTTGCCAGGATGTGGCTTCGCCATGTTCGCCATGCAGTGCATCATGCTCACGCCCTATGACGCATCATATAAGCACGCGAGCAGAATAGCACGCACTATCGATTTGCACGCAGACGATATTACCCTGGATGTCTCGGGCTCTGCGCAGAAGCTCCTTGAGGACTCCCCCAAGATGTTGAGGATACTTGTGGGCGTTCTGGAGAGTCTGGGGCTGCCTGTGGCTCGGAACAAGATGAAGGTCACTTCTAGCAACCCTCAACTTGGGCGTCGGGTGCGCAGACAGGTCCGATCCATGGGGTACACCTACTGCAGCGCCCTCGAAGTCTTGGGTATTGATATTTCCTCTGGGCGTCGGTACACCAAGCTGCGGTCGAGGGTGCTGGGCGCTGTCGGTCGTCGGGTGCCAAGGTTCCGATCGGTGCGTCGCGCCGGCAAGTTGGCTGCGCGTTTTGTGCACCAGGCCATGCCGCCAGCCATGGCTTACGGAGTGGGAGTGCACGGAGCCCCCCCACGGCTAGTGGCTAGAATGAGACGTATCCGTCGAAGCTCCTGGCTTACCCCAGGGGCCGCCACCTCGGCTTGGGTCACCCCTTGCTTACAGGGCCACCAGCACTCCTGACCTTCAGGCCATGGCGCGGCACGCTCCCATTTACCAATGGTCTCTCCTGTACCGCGACTGCGCAGTGCCGGGGGATGTTCTGCAACGGGCATGGGCTAAACAGATCCAGGTTGTATACAATCGTCCCAAACCATGGTCCAGGGTCGCTGGACCTGCGGGCGCTATCTTATGGGCAATTCGGGATTTGGGATGGTTTATTTCTTCTGGGCATCTGGCACGCACTGATGTGGGTGATGTTTTGGACTTTCGGAAGGAAGCGCCTCCGACGATACTAGCGGTTGCCAAGGAACCAGCCATGAGAAGGCCGCGGGCCCAGTGGGCCAGTCGGCCTGATGGCTCGCATGAGCCAGTGAAACCCAAAGAGCTCACGGGATATTGGCTGGAATCGGTTGCCAAGATCTTGGGACGAGAGTTTCACTCCGACGAAACTGCCGAAGACATCGGTCCCGATCAACCCAGCGAACCAGACCCACAGCAGGACTCCCAGGGCACGCAGCGCGCTAGGAACTGGTCTCCTGAACATCGGGAGGCAGGACTGCCACGGGCGTTCGTCACTGGTGGCATGTGGACGCCCGCGCGCCTCCACCAGCTCGGGTATGCGGACGATGCCCAGTGTCGACAGTGCGCAAACAATTCCTGCACTATGCACCACATCTTGTGGGAATGTCTTGCACTTGATGCCGTCCGTCGTGAACATGCGTCTCGAATTAACCGCAGAGGGCCCCCTACATGTGAAACTGGGTCTTGGTTTTGGGATCGTGGACTTATCGAGCGGTCATGCTTTCCAGAACTACCTGCTAGAGACAACTCGGGGAGGTGGCAAGTCCTCTACGGAAGTCCAGAGGGGATCTCGAGAAGGATCTATACGGATAGATCGTGTCGCCGTATTTGGTATTGGCCAGAGTCTGCCAGAGCTGGGCGGGGCTTCGCTCAGCTATCGGAGCGAAGAGATGGAGGCATTAAATGTGCTGTCTATGGAGCGCTACCTGGCGTCGTCCAGTCCTCACCGAGAGCTGAAATGCACGCCGCCCTCCAGGCCCTCATAGCCTGTGTCCCTCCAGTTACTATAACAACCGACTTTACGGGGCTCCCCGATGGGCTGGACGAAGGCCCAAGTCGGTGTTTACCCCCCCGCCGGAACAATCTTGACCTTCGGGAGGCCCTCTGGGGCAAGATCGAAGACCTCGGGGGCCTCCACACTGGCGTGTCGCTTGAACTTTGCAGGGGCCACCAGCGCGGCGCGAGCGAGGTAGCTAGAAGCAATCGCTGGGCCGACCTTGCGGCCACCTCGGGGCGCGATCTTCATTGTGCTTCGCGCCCTGCTCGGCAGGCAATGGCTGCTGCTCACAAGCACTATGTGTCCAGCATTCGCTGGATGGTAAAGGCTTTGTCCCTGTATGGGGAGACGGGTAGGGCCCCCGCTCGTCCTCGCGCGAAGCGGAGACGTTGCCGTTCCCCCGCCCTTGGATTGGAATCCAGCGCTGAAGTGCCTGACCATTTGCGGCACGTCTTCCAGAGGATCCCAGGACGGAGCAGATACAGGTGCACCTTCTGTAAATGTGAAGCCAAAACCATTGATAGAGTTCGTCGTCTCTCTCTCCTCTCTCTCTCTCTCTCTCTCTCTCTCTCTCTCTCTCTCTCCTGACATGCTCGCCTGCGGGCTTTGGAGGGTGCGCTCGGACTCGCGGCATCGCAGCTTCCGCACTCGCAAGGGCACGGTCGCGTCTCGCCCCCGCGTTGCGTCATGCAGCAGCAGGCTGCCGAGCCACCTCCCGCGGCCCCCCCGTCGCCTTGCAAACGGGAAGCCGTGGTTGATGCGCTCAGTGGCCCAGCTGCCGATGGCGATGGCGGCTCTTGCCCCCCCGCGCGAGGAGGCTGCTATCCTTGAGAGGAGCGCGAGTAGCCTCCTTGCTGGTGCCCCTCGCCCGTGCGTCGACGTCGATGTGTCGGATTTGCGTCGGTCGACGCGTCGTCCTCGCTCGTCTAGCTCGTCTGACGATGGTCGCAGTGTGCGGAGGCGTGTCGCCTTTGACCCCGTGACTCTGGTGCGGCCGCCTGCCCAGGAGCAGCAGGACCGCGCCGTCCAGGAAGTCGAGGATGTGCGCTCCTCCTTGCCCGCGGCGAAGCGCCCGCGGCAAGGCAGCCGAAACCCCAGGCCCTCCCTGAGCGCGACCACGGTACCTGTGGCCCCCATGCCGCTTTGCGGCATCGCGCAGCCCGAAGCGGCGCGAGGGCACAGGTGCTGGGCTGGGGACGTGGTCATAGATTTAAGATGCGGTTTATACACTGGTGTGGCGAGCCACCTCCTTGTCGATTGCTGCCCGCCTGAATTCCATCTGATGTCAGATAGGGCGGCGCGCAACGGGATTTTATGTCTGAGAGGTCGGCACCCTGCTGACGAGGGGAGGCCTGGAAGTCGGACCCTCCGAACCTCCAGGCCCCTGCAGGCCTCTGACCTTGAAACGCTCTGGTTACGGTTACGGCCTATGGAGGCCCAGCCTTGATTTGCGTTCGTGGCGCCTTCTCGCCACGCCCGCTTTGGGGCTGTGCCAGTGCGCCCGCTCCGTGATCCCCATGGGTGGGGGCGTGGGCGTTTTCGTTGGCACCACGGGCATCTTTCGCCCCAGTCAAATGTGCCCACCCAGCGCTAGCTTGACCTGCGCGGTAACCGCAAACCGCCAAGGCAGTGCGTTATCCTCCTCCTCCTCCTCCTCCTCCTCCTCCTCCTCCTCCTCCTGCTGCTCCTTTCCTCTTCTTGCTCCTCCTCCTCCTCCTCCTCCTCCTCCTCCTCCTCCTCCTCCTCCTCCTCCTCCTCCTCCTCCTCCTCCCCCTCCTCCTCCTCCCCTCCTCCTCCTCCTCCTCCTCCCTCCTCCTCCTCCTCGTCCTCCTCCTCCTTCTCCTTCTCCTCCTCCTCTCCTCCTACTCCTGATCCTCATCCTCTTCCTCCCCATCCGCATGACCATCAGCCCCCGCATCCCCTCATCCCATTCCTTCTCTTTCCTCCTCCTCCTCCTCTCTCCTCCCTCCTCCTCTTCCTCCTGATCATCCTCATCCTGCTCCTCCTCCTCCTCCTCCTCCTGTCTCTCCTTCTTGCCTTCCTCCCCTCTCTCCCTCCTACCTCCTCCTCCTCCTCTCCTCCTCCTCCTCCTCCTCCTCCTCCTCCTCCTCCGCCCCCTCCTCCCCGCCTCCGCCTCCGCCTCCTCCTCCTCCTCCGCATCCATCCCTCCCCCCCTCCCTCCCTCCCTCCCTCGTTCTCCGTCTCTCGTCCCTCCTTACCGTCCCTTCCGTCCCTCTCCCCCGAGGGCCCTTTCGGGGCTCATGGCCTGGGAGTTCCTGCCCCGCGCGCGGGATGGCGGCCCGCGGGGCGCGGCGGCCGTGCCGACGGAGTCGTCCGCCGACGAGGACAGCGAGGAGAGTCGCCAGCCACCCCCGCCCGCGCTCTGGGAGCTCTAAATCGGCAGCGCGCCCAGGGGGGGAAGTGGGAGGCTTCGAGGAGCATCCTGGATCGAGCAAAGAGCACGCACGAAGCCGACAAATGCACGAGGAATGGCCGTCCGAGCGACGACGAGGAGGGGCGGGCCTTCTCAGAAGGCTCGGAAGGCCCCAGGCCTCCCGAGAAGTTTTCTAGGCCTTCCCCGAAAACACGGGAAACTTGTCACAAAGCGCGAGGGCTTCGGAAAAGTCCCGCCGCCTTCTGAGAAGGCCTTCTTCTTCTCGCCGTCCCCCCCTTGCTCGCCGCCGATCCACAGCATTCAGACCCTGTGCTGAGACGACAATGATGTCATGACAGGATTGGATCAGGATGCGTTTCAGGATTTCCCGAGTATCTAGCGGCCCTCGTTTCTACCCGTGTGAAACAGTCGGGAGTTTGGGCCTTCGAGTAGGGGATCGACTACCGAATTTATTTGCCCCCAAAATATGGTTTCCGCCGAGTCTGCGGAAATACGTAGCGTGCTCGTAGATATACAAGCACTCGATGTCTTTGTCGTAGATTCGACGAGAACTTCCATGTTGGGGTACATCAATTCTGCAGGCGATCTTCTACTCGAGCCCTGGGAGTTCCAAAGCATCCACACTTCTTGTGCTTGCAGAGCACGGGGGATCCCATCTCTGCTACCAGCGAGCAGCGGGCATCCCTCTCCTCCTACAGGCTGTTCGGTCCAACCCGTGGGGGCGCCGACGGTCTAATACGGACCAGCTGCAAGGAATCCATCCACTGCGAATCACGGCAGGAGCCACGACTGTCCTTGCGGACCAGCCGGACCCAAGGGAGGAGGGCCAGTCGAGACAACGCCAGCCGCCCCTGGCGCCTCTCGATTTTCATGTGCTCCCAGAGGCCCCTCGACGCCGCGGCCGCCTCCGCGCCAAAAAGCCGGCCAGAGAGGGCCTCGGGAGGGGCTGGGGCCCCAATGCTGAGCGGGCTCTGGTCCTCCTCCTCCTCCTCCTCCTCCTCCTCCTCCTCCTCCTCCTCCTCCTCCTCCTCCTCCTCCTCCTCCTCCTCCTCTTCCTCCTCCTCCTCCTCCTCCTCCTCCTCCTGCTCTTCCTCCTCCTCCTCCTCCTCCTCCTCCTCCTCTCCTCCTGCTCTCCTCCTCCTCCTCCTCCTCCTCCTCCTCCTCCTCCTCCTCCTCCTCCTCCTCCTCCTCCTCCTCTGGCCCCACTTCGGCGTGGCGCGGCCCCTTTTCTCGCAGGGAGCAGTCGACCGGGACGGGACGGGACGAAAGAGTTCGAGGCTCTGAGGGACGAGGCTCGTGGACAGATTCCTCGGTCCTCGACAGTCTTCCGGCCTCGGGGTGCTCTCCAGCGGCTGCGCCTCGTCGAGAGCGCTCCGGCGGTGCCCGGAGCGCTCCGAGCGGCCGCTGGAGGCCCCCGTGAGCCAGACGACCCGCGCTGGCGACCAGGACGGGACAGCAGCGAAATTGGCCAGCACCTCGCCCCCCGCCCTGGGAACTCACCACCCACCAAACCACCCCAACCCAACCCGAAGGCTCAGATTTACCCTCGATTTCCAGTGGGGGGGGGGTCGGGACACATCGAAAAAACACGTGTGGAACCCTTACCCCCCCCAACCCGAAATTCGGGTCTTCGGGTTGGGTTGGGGTGGTCTGGTAGGTAGTCAGGAACGAGGGGGGCCCTCAGATCTGGGCGGTGCCAAAATCGCGGGGGCGTCTCTCCCGGCCCCGGGGTCGTGAAGTGACAGCCCGGTCCCTGGGAAGTGTCGAGGCTCCCGAGGCCGACGTCACGAAGACGTGCAGCGCTGGAGGAGAGGGACGGTCGACCAGGACCGGACGGCATCTTGGGGTCCGTTGGCGTTGCCGAGGCGGCTGCGCGAGGTCACATCCTGCCTCCTCGACTGGGTGTGTGCCCGTGCCTTTGCGCCTGGCTCCTCCTCCTCCTCCTCCTCCTCCTCCTCCTTCTCCTCCTCCTCTTCCTCCTCCTCATCATCAGCATCAGCATCATCAGCAGCATCATCACCAGTATTGCGAAGGCATTACTGCCAGTGCCGCCGATCCTGAAGGGAGACGACGACGACGACGATGACGACGAGGGAGACGACGACGGCGGCGGCGGCGGCGGCGGCGGCGACGACGACGACGACGACGACGACGACGACGACGACGGCGGCGGTGGCGGCGGCGGCGGCAACGACGACGAAGCTGACGTGGGCCAGAGTCCTTGGTTCTTTGGGTCTCCTCGGAAGTCTCTCGAGGGCCTCCGGGGAGGAATTTTGGGGCCTCTGGGGAGCATCTTGGGGGCCTCTTGGGAGCCTCTTGGGGGCCCCTTCGGGCTTCCTGGGGACCTCTTGTGGGCCTCGTGGGGGCTCTGGGGCACTTCTTGGGGCCTCCTGGGAGCCTCTTGGGGCCGAAGGCTCGAAATGTCCGTTCGGGTCCCCAGTCTGGGCACGCTCTTGGAGATGCCGTCTTGGAGGCGTTTTGGGCTGTCTTGGGGTCCTCTTGGGCCCTCTTGGAGGCCTCTTGAGCCGTCTTGGGAAGGTCTTGGGGGCCTCTAACGCCGTTTTGGAGCAGCGGGAAGTGGAAAAGCCGAGAACGCCCAAATCTTTCAAAAACCAATGAACAATCTATGGTCTCTTCGTGCCTTCTCGGGAGTGCTCTTGGAAGCGTCTTGGGGCGTCCTGGAGGCCTCCTGGGCAGTCTGGAGGGCGTGAAGGCGTTTTGGACCGATCGTCTGGCGATTGGGGACCCTCTTGGACCGTCTCAGCGGCCTCTTGGGGCACTCTTGGCCTGTCTTGGTACTTTCTGAGGCCCCCAGGGCCCCCATGGGGGGAAAACATGTCTGGGTGGCGACCTCCTCCCCCCCCGGGACCCCCCCCCCCGGCGCGGGGAAGGGATCAAAGGTAACCTCATACACGCCGACAGGGTCGGCGGATTATCATCATCGCCCTCATCGTCCAGATCGTCCTGAGTATCATCCTCATCGTTAGCCTCATATCCTCTTACCTATCTCTCCTCTTCCTCCGCGTCCTCTCCTCTCATTCCTTCTCTCCCCCCGTTTTCTCACCCCCCCTTGGGAGGGAGGAGGAGGAGGAGGAGGAGGAGGAGGAGGAGGAGGAGGAGGAGGAGGAGCGGCGGTGCAAGCATGGCACTGTTTTTTGTTTGACTCGGCTTCTTGCCCTGCTTGCAACCAGCTTGAAGCGACACGGGGTACCGGGATGGCAGGGTCCACATCCAACACAAATTTGGGCACCCCACCAGAGCAAAACCAAGCTTCTGGGCAAGAACGTGCCCAACCACATCATCCGCTCCACGATCGCTGCGGGCACGGCTCCGAGCGCCTGCATCGCTCCCGAGGGCTCGAATTCAGAAGCTCACGGCGTCCTGGTTCAGATCTCCGAGAGGAGTCCCCAGACAGCCCTGGGAAGTAAAAGTCGTTCAAACCATATGGAAAAACTTACATGTTTCACATTATCGTGCTTCTCGTCTTCGAGGCGTCCAGAACGGCCACACAGGCCCCCAAGATCGCCCCAGCACGCCCCAGAAGGCCCTCTGAAGGCTCCTGGCCCCAACTTGAGTAGGGGATCGACTACAGAGTTGACTCACCCCAGAACTGATCTGTTCGTCGAATCTACTAAAAATACGTGGAACTGCTCGTAGATTCGACAACCATTCTACGCATTTTCCGCTGATACTCTGGGGCAAGTCAATTCTGTAGTCGATCTCCTACTCGAAGCCTCCCTTGCTTCTCCAGACCCTACCCACCCATCATCCGTCATCGCCGCCGCGCACCGGCGCCGAGCAGACAGGGAGGACAAGGGAGAAGGACATTGGCCAGAGGGAGGCCCAGAGGGGCCACACAGGCGAATTCTGATCGATCAGCCCAGAGCAAATGGCTGGCAGCTTAGCCAACTCCCCCAGCCGTCGGCGAAGGATCAGAGGAGGGAGGAGGAGGAGGAGGAGGAGGAGGAAGAGGAGGAGGAGGAGGAGGAGGAGGAGTGAGGAATGAGGAGGAGCAGCAGGAGCGAGATGAGGGAGACACAAAAAGGGAAGGAGGAGAGGAGGAGGAGGAGGATAGGTAGGCGAGGAGGAGAGGAGAGGAGAGAGAGGAGAAGGAGAGAAGAGAGGAGAGGAGAAGAGAGAGAGGAGAGGAGGAGAGAGAGAGGAGGGGAGGGGAGGGGAGAGGAGAGGAGAGAGGAGAGGAGAGAGGAGAGAGGAGGAACGAAGAGGATGAGCATGAAGAGAGGAGAGGAAAGGAGAGGAGAGGAGAGGAAAGAAGAGGAGCGGAGCGGAGTGGAGAGGAGAGGAGATGAGAAAAGGGGGAGAGTCGGAGGGGGAGGAGGAGGTAAATTCGTCTGCCCTTCCTGGGGGAGGAGAAGGAAGAAGAAGAGGTGGAGGAGAAGGTGGGGGATTGGGAGGAGGAGACATGGGAGGAGGGGGAGGAATAGGAGGGTGGACGCAAGACAGAGGTGAATAGTTCCATATGTTGGCGAAGGCTTTCAGAAGGTTGCTAGATCTTGCATGAGGTTTCTGGAGGGGTGGGGAGCAGTAGCAGCAGCGGGATAAGGATGGTCATCCTTTCCGGGCAGGACGCAGTTTTGAGAAAGCCAGGGGGCCCGGTGTGCAAAGTCAAGCGGACCATGTGTAGGAAGGGGGCACTTCCTTCTGCGCTTTGTTGCAGCTCGCCGGGGTCGTCCGATCCGGCCCTCGTCGCCATGGCTGGACCTGTCCCTCCTCTTCTTCCTCCTCCTCCCTCCTCCTCCCTCCTCCTCCTCCTCCTCCTCCTCCTCCTCCTCCTCCTCCTCCTCCTCCTCCTCCTCCTCCTCCTCACGAGGATCGAGGTTCCGGGATGTTGTTTGCCTTTCGGGGGACCTCTAAAGGCATCGAGGCATTTCCAGAGACCTTCAGGTCTGGTAAGGGAGCGATCTGGAGGAGTTTGGCCCAGGCTCTGAAGCATGAGATCAAACGTCGTGAGCGCATCCAATCGAGTGTAGGTGGCGGACCAGCAGTACAGTCGGCCCAGATTAGTAGGTCGACCCTGCCAAATCATGGGTACCCTTGTGTCCTGTGTCTCGCGACCCATGCTTCATACATTCCTGTGGCACTGTGGCCCTCGGAAGGGTCTTGTGTCTT